GAACAATTTAAAATAGCTCTTGAAATATTTATGAAAAATTAATAATTTTTATAAAAAAATGCGATATTAATATTATATTATTTTAAGAATAAAATTGAACCAATCAAAATCAATTATTTTAATGATAATTAGGAAATGATCGACATAAAAATTGACCAACCATACAAATGTCTGCCATGCTGGTGACAAATAACATTCTGTTACCAGATTAATAAGTAAAAATGAAATATAGTAGGTGTGATAAATAGCAACCTAAATCTGTATACTAACTATATCCATGATTTAATTGGCTAATTATCACGTGTATATAATTGATTTCAATATAGTGCAGGAAAAAAAAACCTAAAACGCGACTAGTTTATAATAAAAGCGCTAAATATGTTAACACGTTCTTCGGCACCAAAGAAAAGAAGTTCAGACTCTAGCTCTAAAAACTTATCTCCTTCTTCGCCTATTGGACCTCAGGAATTGATATTTCGTAATTTCCGTCTTCGTCGAATTGTTAAAGAAAATCATGGTCATGATATAAATCAATTGGCTTTTTTCTTCAATTTAAATCATTATACTGCACCAGTTGGCGCTCTATACAAGAAAAAATTTAATAAACTTGGATACGTTGAAAGAAATGTTAGAGATACCAGCAACGTTTTGGCTAGTGTTGGTGATATACAGGCGAGTAATACCTGGAATTTATTTAATTTATCTTTATTGTTATGAGCTAATCCATTTTTTTTTTTTAGTCGAATATTTATGACAATGAGCATTGTGGGGACCATTTAGATATTATGTCAAATTTCGTTGTAGGAAACAATTTGAATTTGGAGTCTGGCGTAAGTGACTCTCAAATCGAATTTTTCGAATTTGCTATTGAATAACATATTTTTAAACATAACATAGGAATTAATGACGTGCTGTTGGTTACATCGAGACGATGATGCATTACTTGCTTTAGGTGGAAAATCACGTGTCATATATATTATCTCCATTGCACTTTCCAGTACTCCGAGAACATTATGGGGGCATACTGGTATATTTTCTTTTATTTTTTTTTTTTTGTTTTTAAAGATATTTTATTTTTATCTTATACTCAATTGTTTTTTAGATTGTATTACGGATATTCAAAAACATCCTAAAGACGATCAACATATATTGTCCGCATCAAAAGACGCAACTGTACGACTTTGGCATGTTGATAGTGGCCAGTGTCTATACGTGTTTCAAATTAAGGCCTCAGTGACAGTGAGTTCGCACTCTTTATAATTCTTGAAGGCTTGTTACATTTTATTGCTTACTAAATCTTTGATCTTATAGTGCTGGCATCCATCTGGTCAATCATTCCTGACTGGAAATTATAATGGAGAGATTAGAATTTGGCAAACTCCAGATTTATTAACACCACCGACCGAATCATTAAATATAACCGAAAACGATATTGAAACGCGATCTAGAAAATGTCACTCAAGTCAAATAGGTTATTATTCTCGACTTTTCTCTGTGTTTGTAGAATTAATCTTGTTAAAGAATATTTATCAACACATTTATATAGATTGCATACGATTTGCTAATCAAAATGTAATATCCAAATCTTTAAGTGGTAAAATCGAATATTGGAATTATGATACACTAGAGGTAATAAAAGCTTTTTCCATTAAGAATAATTCTCCAAACAGATCAAGATTTGACGTGAGGTAAGATTATTTATCATTTAGTAGTTGTTCTTTTTGTAAATTATTTCGAATCTTTATAAGTAAATTCGTAATTTAAAAAATTAGTCTTGACGAAAATTTTTTGTGCGTGGGTACAAGTAATGGAAGCGTCAACATTTATAATATTTTGAATGGTAAACTAATTTCAGAACTTAGTCATCGTAGATCAACAAAGGCTGTAAGGTGTTGTGCATTTTCCAGAGATTGCAAGTATGTGTAAATGGCCATAAAGTGTTTCTTTGTTCTTTGGTTTTTTTTTATTAGTAATAAAAATTCATGTTATTACTTTTTAATAAATTTAGGCAAGTTATTGCAGCTGGAGAAGATGGTTACATATGGAGATATGATTATATTAGTGACGAAACACTAGAGATTAATTAATAAATCAGTTAACTAATGATATAGTCAACTTTCTTATTATTTTTTTTTTTTTTGCCAATTAAATAACTTCTTTTATTGAGAATATCTATCTTTAATATCTTTCCATTGTTTCTATAAAATAAAATAAAATTTCGAAATTAATGGATATTTAATATCCAATTGTATATTATAAAAAATTAAAATTCATACGTACGTCCTTATTCATTCTGTCCCACCATCTATCCGTGGCAGTATCAAAGGCCATTTCAAAAGCAAATGCTGTTGCGAAAATTCCGACCATGAAGACCGAGTTTCTTCTAAAAATTGTTCGGTATACACTTCGAGAGAATCTAATAGTAATATGATAGCAAAAATTAGTTTAAAATAGTTAGCTATTTAAACGAATGATTATACTTACTTTTCAAGACCGTTATTTCTAGCGTCCATTATGAAATGTTAAAATGGAAAATTAAAAGAGGTAAATAAAATAAATGTTTTTTTTTTTAATGTACTCTTAATATCGGATCGGCATTCTTAATAATTCATCACGTGATTAAATATTTGGGATGTGCATAAAAAAATTTAATAAGGAATCGCGTTTCTTTTTTAACTTTTTTTAACTTCTTTTTTTTTTTCTTAAAAAAAAAAAAAAAATTATAGGAAAACTTTCACGAACATCATGGCTGAGGCTAATAGTGGAGGAAAACCTAAGTTGGTTATTGATCGTGAAAAGGTATTTTTATCTGAAACTTTAACAGATCTAACTAAACTGGTCGTGTGAAATGATCCTTTATTCGACATAATGTTGTTTTGTAGACAGTCCCATTTCTATTACGAATGTTTTATCGGTTGAATTATCACCATAGGTTTATTTTATTGTATTTTTATTTTTTTATTTGAAAGGATATCATATTCTATTGTATAGATTAATAATTGATCTTTTTTTGTATAGGATCGATGATTTTACACCTGAACATTTACCTACCGAGGATGAAGTGCAGATATATACTTGGTATAATTAAAAAGGACTATGATATGATTTTTTTTTTTAAAAGAGAAAATTTTTCTCTTTCTCATACATTCCTTCTTAAAAATTCATATAGGAAGGATGCCACGTTAAAGGAAATTTCTAATTTAATTAAAGAAGTAGTTCAAGATGCTAATAGACCAAATGCAAGATTATCATTTAAATTAGTATATATCGATAATTTACGTGGTAAATATGCATTTAAAGAATTAGGTACAATTCACAATGTAACCTCATCAACAACGCCAGAGCAAGAGGGAATAAATCTTGATGATGCGAGATTTGTTATTGGAGATTTTATAGATGTAGCAATATTTTTTGGACCACCACCAAGAACTGTTGAAAGAAGGGGGAGTGTTCTTAGAGACAGAAATAGAGAAAGGGAAAGGGAAAGAGGCGGAAGAAATTATCGTGGTATTGGTGCTGGCAATGATAGAGATCGAGATAGAGATAGGGAAAGAGATAGGGAAAGAGATCGAGAAAGGGATAGAAATGGTATGAGAATTGATAGGGACAGAAGAGATGATCGAAGAGATAATAGAAACTTTAGAGATAGAAGACGATAATTTATAAAATTTTGATCTTTTTGATGGATACCTCTGAGCCATTCCCAACTTTTATTTTCTCGGGGATTATGATTTTAATTTGGTTCACTTTGTAAAAAATTTCTTTTTTTTTTGGATATCTTTATGAAAGTAGACTTAAAAAATTTCAAATTCTTTATACCTTTTTTTTTTTTGCATTAAAACTACAAAGATTTCTTCTATCATTCTCGAACTCTCTCTCCCTCTTTTAATTTAAACATTTTGCTAGCTAAATTAAAATTTAGCGTACGAAAAAAAAAATAAATGGTCTATAAAATTACTTTGAAAATATTTTATTTTACTTAATAAAATAAAAATAAAAAAAATTTTTTTTTTTTTTTAACGTTTAATTTTCATATCTTCTTTTGTTTGACCTTTACGAATACCAGTCAGATTCCATTTAAACTAAATAATTTAAAAATGTTAAAAAAAAATATCTATATTTCTTTTTAAAACGACCGGTCAACAACTCACATCTTCAGTCCAACAAATAGCATATGTACCGACAGGAATTATAATGCAACTGATAATTCCTGTAATAATAGTTCTTCTTGTCCAACGAAAATGCGGATGTAAATTAGTACGCATAAAAGCCCATCTTTCAATTGCCGCATTTTTGATTAATACTAAGTTAATACAAATGAAGTGTTAGTAAAGTAAAAAAAGGGAATCATATTTCTCATTTTTTTTTTTTTTTTAAAGGAAAAAAAAAAAATTTGTTTTTACAATTATCATGATCCCCTGCCATCTTTTATATGTATAAAAACGAAATAATATTTTTTTGAAAACTATTTATCTTTTTTATTGATTTTATTTATATTTTTAAAAAAATTTAACACGTGACAGTATGTCATGAAAAAAAATCGATTGTCTTATTGGTTCCCTACCAAGCATTGTGATTACGTTCTAATTAATTTAATTGACCAACAATTGTGACAAATTAATCATAAGAAATACGGAAGGCTAAGGCTTAGAAGGAATTAAAAATTATATGAAAATAAAAATAATAACGTGTAGTGAACTCCCGGCCATAGTTTGAAGGTCAATTCTAATAAATGGTAAAATTAAACCTTCCTATTCATTCTATTCATTAATTACACTTGCACTACAAAAGATTAAATTTCTTTTTTCAATGGCCAATTCATGGAATCTTGATTAATACAGCGTTAAAGAAAAGAATTTAATGATAATATAAAATGCTACATGAGAAAGATATATCGTTTCCAGATGCCTTGACAATTATCCTTTACATTTAAAAAAAAAAAAAAATTCTAAATATGTTTTAATTGTATGTTGTATTTCGGAAAAAATTTGTGACACGAAATTTATTTTTACGTCACTTATGCCACAAGTAACTGGTTAAAATCTTGCAATATTTTTTCAAAGTTAAGGTTTTTACAATCGGTAAAAAAAAAAAAAAAAGAAAGAAAGAAAATTAAAATAAGTAAATACTTTTTTGGTTCTTCAAATACTGTTGTTGTATTATTACAAATGGTAAATATTAAAAAGATTTTGTTTTTTTACAAAAAGTTAAGATTGTATCTTCGTCTTAAAGAAAATTGTCCATGGAAGAACTATATACCCTTTTTAAATGTATTTTTCAATCTTTTTGTAAAAGAACCAATTAAGTTGGATTTCTCATCATTTGAAGTCATAGTCATTTGATCATCATCGATAATAAGAACGTCACGTCTTTGATCTATCCAAAATTCTAATAATTGAGCTCCAATACCGAATAAACCACCAACAAATCCAATCGTACTCAAAATAATAATAACATTCGTATCAACAATATATAAATAATCTTCAGGTTGATTATAACCCCAAAAGGTTTTAAACGATGCTAACATTCCTCCCCGTACAAATACATCTGTTCCCAGCATAAGCAAATAACATCCTGACATAACTGTCGATATAATCGCGACATATTGATAAAATCGTTGTATACCCGCTAGCGTCGCATTAAATACTGTACATATTCCTATCCATATATATCTAATTAATTGATTTGATATTAAACCATTGGTTCTAGTTGATAAGCAGATCATCGCCAGCGAAAAACCGCCAAGTGCTCCTACTAATATTCTACCTGTTGGCCATAAACATACAAAGAAAATTCCCGCGGCTGCACCAGCTCCGGTACATATAACAAAATAAACAAATCTTAATGTTGATGATGGATTCGTCACATTTTGATATTTTAAAATAAATAATAATAAGACCATACCTATATCAAAAAAAAAAAAGATTATTAGAAGTTCTCTTTAAAAAAGCAATTGGCTTTAATTATTAAATAATTTTATTGTGAGGCATACATACATATTCCGTAGAATGCGGCTATAAATATCGATAACCACTTGTACTTATTTCCTCTAAATAAGCTTACAACTCCCGACACTATTAACGTTAATCCGGTTAAATAACTAGCAGCATCTAATGGATAATCATTTCCCCTTGCTATTTGGTCAAATATGCAAAAGTTATTAACGGTCAGTCATAATAACATACTTGTAAAAAAAGGGTTAAACTTAACTTACTTTTATTGGCGTACGGGTCTTCATAAGTAAAATTTATTGGTGTTGGTGGTGGTGGTGGTAAAGGTAAATCTTCTCCTTCTCTTTCTATTACTATTTCCGGGGGTAAATCTACTCCTTCCCTTTCTTTTCCCAGAAATTCTCCTTCTCTCTCTATATTATTCCCGTGTGCTGACGATATCTCATTATTTTTCCCTTGCGCCGTTACTGTTGTAAATACACTAAACAGCAATAATATTATTATTATACTATAAAACACATAGTTCTTCTTTCTTAATGTTATATTTTTTCTATTATTACTTTTCATTTTTTATTCAAACTTCAAATGGAAAACTTTACAATAAATAACGTCAAAGCCTTATATTATATATGTTTTCTTTTTTTCTTGTTTTGAAAAAAAAAAAAAAAAAAAAAAAATTTTAATTAATTAATAAATAATAAAACCAAAAAGTTTCCGTCGTTAATGAAACTTCCGCTTGGAGACGGCAGTATTCAAGGTAAGACAGGAAAGATGAAATTTATTGAAAGGTGTTAAATTTATATGCATATTCAATTCTCGAAAAAAATGTTTATAAATATATACAGCATAAATAAACCGCATATATATTTTTGGTATTTTTGATTAACCATAAATGATACATTTTTTAAATGATCCATTACATTTATAGTAATAAATATCATAAATATAATGAACCAAATTCGTCATACGTGATACGGAAATTTCAAACAAGACGCGTATCAAGAAAATTTTACCATTTTAAAGCTTTCCTTTCGGATTGAATTCCTTGAAAAGGATTGCACCTATTTAAAAATGGCAATACTTACCTTTATAAATCAAAGAATAAAAATATTTCAAATTGAAATTCTGATATTTCAATTAAAGATTATGATCGATATTTACGCTCATTATTCCTTTTAACTTTGTAATGATCCCCACAAAATGAAAAAAAAAAAATAAGGAAAATAATCGACATTGGATTTAGCGTTATCACGAGTAAACACCACACGAGGTGATGATCATCTCATTTTAAATAATTAAAACAATTAAAAAATCTGTTTTAAATAATCTAAATAATCTTTTTTAACAATGTTCAAATTCCATATAAAATTTATTTAGTAAATAAACAAAAGGTAATTTATGCATGCTGAATTTTTAGTATTACACTAAAAATGCATCCAATCGTTGATCATCTAATCCTTTTGTGATATATGATTTTAAGTCACAGCATTATAAGGAGGTTGAATAAACATTATTTGGATAGCACGAAATGATGGTAACCCAATGAAAAAATCGGAATAAAATGGTCATACTTTTCTTGTTAGTCCAAAAAGCAAAATTTAAATATAAAAATTACGTAAATTTATTTATATATATATTTGATAAATACGGCGTATTGACATGTCTATCATCCAAATAACAAGAATTTCGTCTTAATATTTTTCGATTTTACCTTAAAATAAAATATTTTTTTTTTAAAAAAAAAATTTAATTTGCAGTAGAAAAGGAAGGAAATTACCAAAAAAAAAATTTTTGACTAATCATGCTTATAAAGATTTTGATACAATTTCCTCCCTTCTTACTGCAAAGCGCCCACATCATGGTTCTGAGATTAGACGTTCTATTTTTAGATCATATGATTTTAGGGATGTTAAGCGGTCCTTAACCGGTCCTTACGATTTAAGAGATTACTAACTCTAGAGAAGTCTAATCACTTATCTAACCATCAAAAAATGTCATAAAAATTTTATAATTAATTGGTAAAAAGCGAAAATGATATTCAAACTTGGCAATTTTGATGGGACCGCTAAGTATAGGACCGGTCCTTGGTAAATCCTAAAATTTTAAATTTTAAGAAATTCTGGGATTCCAAGAGGTTTATTATATATTTTCATTTAGTAGCTCATTAAAACATTATAATAGACAAGTTTCATAATAAATTTGTAAAAATAATTCTTTGAATTTTCCTGGGACTTTAGGACCGCTTAGGACCGCTTAACATCCCGATGTGATTTTAATCACATGATTAACTGTTCCGAATGTTGATACCATAGAAACGCCTTCTACTAGGCGAATTTCGACCTTGTCTAACTTTGATGGACGAAAAGTTTGTCATAACTTCGCTAACGATACAGAGGTATCAGATGTCGAGGATGTGACATATCAACAAACCGAAAGTGAGTTTAACATGCGCAAAATGTTCCGAATAAAACAAACCGTATATTTGCCCTGTAAACATGTCGTGTATTACGTTTGCATTGATGATTCACGCAAGATGGGCCCATTATGCCCACCGTCTGAAGATTTGGAAATTCCAGTATAACAGGGTTCGAGTTCATCTATGAAAATGTTAGATACAAAAATACAATAACTACAAGAAATACAGAAGTGACATCGACAAATAGATTTTGTAAAAGAGTATGTCACACGAATATATCTAAGAGGATTACAATAAAAATCGTAATGGGTCCTAGTAGGCGTGCAATGCCCTATTGGCCGCAGGAGTCCATATAATGGGTGGTCCATACAAACGTAGGATATTGTGTGATGCCAGAAAATATGAAAAAAAAATAATACTGACCTTCTGTGGTTGATGAATCAACTTTCTTCGTTTACTAAGAAATAAAAAGTATAAGTTGTTATCAACGTACGCAACGTAGACTTGGACACTTACCTTTCTTTTCACTTGTAAGTTCATTGATGAAGTTTACGATTGCAAATGCTAAGCCATCTGGAATTCCCTTTTCTCTAGCTTGTCATCGGTCAGCTTAAAAAAGATTCGACCAGTGGCCGAATAATACTCAAGTTATCCTCGTCTAGTGTTTTTCCAAATACCCGATAAGTTTTTCTGTATCCCATTTTCTAATTTCCTCTGCTATGTGCGACGTTGCAGTGACAATAGAGGCTGAAGCGGGTGTATACAGTGGTGTGCAAAAAAAATGACAATTTTTTTAAAAAAAGATCGACAAGTGTAACTAGCCCAATTTTGGTCATACATACATAAATAAATATGCAAATGAAAGCCCTATGATTACTCTATCGCCTCCAAACGAAACTTTTCTCATACGTT